GAAACAAGAAGAACGAGAAAAGAAACAAGAAGAACGAGAACAGAAATTACAACAGTTGTTAGAGGAAAAAGAAAAGAAACAAGATGCAACTTTGTTATAGATTCTACATCTTAGCAAACCCTTGTGAGCATCAAGGTGTTATATCACGAAGGAGTACCAGAAGCCATACAGAAGCTTTATGGTGTGACAGGACATTCTACAAGATTGTGGGGACCAGTGTGGGTAACTATTAAGGTCATGGGCATAAAGGACAGACAGAAAGTATACTTGGCTGACATTGAAGACCAATGCATATTAGGATTGGACTATCTACAACTGAGGAAGTTTGTAATTGATTTTGATAAAATGACGTTTGGGAACAACAAAGGCGAAGTTCCGGTAACTGTTAAAAGAGAGGTTGAACTAATTAGGTGTCATCAAGCTAAGTTAAAGTGACTGAAGAAGTTGTTGATGGTGAAGTGGAACCAAATATAGATATCAAAGCAGAACAGGAGAAAGACCAAGATTTGAAGCCAATAAATGATTTTCTAAAAGCAAGTGTTTTGCGCCCTGCTTGGGAGAAGGTGTCTAGTCTAAGCCCTGTGACAAAGCACTATTGGGCATAATGGGACCAGTTAAAGCTTGAAGATGGTATTCTTGTCCAGAGATGGGAAACTGCAGATGGGAAAGTGACGACCTGGCAAACGGTTATACCGAGAAAGTTACGGGAAGTTGTGCTGCGTCAATCCCATGATACTTTAACAGGAGGACATCTCGGAATTAGGAAGACATTGAGTCACCTACGACAAAGATTTTACTGGATAGGTATGAGGCGAGATGTGGAAGAATGGTGCAGGATATGCAATACATGTAGTGCTAAAAGGGGACCCAAGCATAAGGGACGCCCACCTTATGAAGAGTTGCCTGTGAATATGTCAGAGTTTGTGGATGTGTTATTGGAAAGGATGGATGATATTCACCATCAAGTGCGTTCAAACTTGAAAACGTCTGCTGATTCGATGAAGCTATGTTATGATAAGAGATCTACTGAAGTCAGCTTTGAACCAGGAGACAAGGTGTGGTTGTATAATCCCAGGAAGACCAAAGGGAAGTCTCCTAAGTTGTCTTCTCCATGGAAAGGCCCATATGACTTAGTGGATCGTCTCTCAGACGTGACTTTCCAGATAAAATGTGGTCGGCGAGGTAAGCCAAAAGTGGTGCATGCCAACAGGCTTTGGCGTTATCACGGTTCAGGACATTTCAGTTGGGATGAAGTGAACAAAGGAACAAATGACGCTGCTGAAGAAGTACCACCTGGAAAAGCCACTGTCGAAGAAGAAACTCTACTCAGTTTGAGAAGGGAAATGATGAAGCTGTTGATGAAGTTACTACCACTCATGTGACTGTTACCGACGATAGGACATTTCCTGATGAAGCAGATGAACTCCACGTGAAGCAGAAGCCAACGAGACGGAGACCAGTACAGAAGAAAATACGTCCCGTAAAATTAAGAGACTTTGTTGAATTGTAATTTTGTGTTTATAATTCTGTACATTTAATTAAGTTATTGTTAATTGTTATTGGTTTAATGTAAGTGGCTATTGTTCGGGACGAACAATACTAAGGAAGGGGCAGTGTTACGACAGCGGAAGTCACGTGACCTGGTTACACGTCATGAGATTCTCGAAGGAGCTTGACTTTTCTTGGCAACTCTAGTCTTTTCTAGGCACCCTCTATTTTAGTATATAAGCCCGGCAAATAAAGCGGAGATATACTATCAGATAGAGAGATACAGAGACAGATAGTTGAGTCAAGTGAGCGGTAGTGACTGTAAGGAAGGTGCGTGAATCGTTGTGAATTATAGCGTATGTTTAAGTTAAAGTGACCGTGGAGATTCTGTGTATTGCAAAGTTGTATTGAGAAAGAATAAACTAGTTTTATTTAAGAAAAGACTTGTATCGCTGAAGTTCCTCGGGAAGAATTTATACCGGGAAATTAACAAACGACTAGATACGCAACAATATTCTTAAGTTGGCGGTAATAGAGTAAGTACAAAAGATGCCCCCACCCAAAAACACACACACACACACACACATAAAAAGCAATTGGGCCCTTCATTTAATACGTTTGTCAGTAGTTCTTAAGTTTGTCAGGCCCTTCAGGCTCCCCTTTTCTCCCTCCCCTCCCTCACAATTGAGAAGTCATAATTACGCCACTGGTTCGTGGTAAAAAGAGGAGTCGTATTATCAGCGTTCATCTTACAGTTCAAAATGTTACATTACTCGAAGGGGTTAGCCTGTAAAGGTTCAATGTCATCTGTTATGTTCCACTTTTTTTGTTCAGATATATTCAGGGTGTACACAAAATCTGTCATTACACACTATGCTATGACTTACAGTGCTATGACTGTAACCTCGAATACATTCCATATAACTAACTTAGCTAATATTAGTTATAATTTCATTTTTTCTTTCCAGTATTCTATTGTAGTGAGACATAATGATTGATCGATGTGACTTTTGTACTTTAGGCCACACATTCGTAATGAACACCAGATGGAGTACAATGTTCTCACTCCATATGTACATACGCGAATGAGAACGCTTCAGTTGAAACGAAGAGGACACATACCACTTGGCTTTGCAATCAGGGGTGGTAAGTTGGCTTCATATTTTATTGTAATATGGCATTTTTCATACTAGTATATTGCATATATAATAATATGTACAACAATTAGCTTAATGTTAAATGCACCAATACAACTAAAGGAGACAAAAAAAAGAGATAAAAATGAAGTCTAGCAGTTACGTATTTATAGGTGTAGTCATTTGATTCTTGATATCTCGTGAAAAAGTCTAATTGTAAATTATACTTTTAAGCCTGTTTTATTTTTAGCTCTAATGCCAAACCTAAGCATGGCCGTGTTAGGTTTCATCCAGACATTAAGTATCATCGTAGCGTCTGATTTTATGCTTATTTCATGCTTATCACAATTCAGAATGAGCAATACATTTCGCAGCCTCATGCCTGTCCCTTTAAACATAATGGCATCTTAACCCCAGATTATTCTTGAAGTTAATCGTAAACTCAGGCCCGTATGCAGAATGTTTGAAAGGGGGTTCTAATTTGTGAGATCAAAAGCCAACACATATTGTGCGAAGCACAATCAGCAAAAAATGCTAATACTTCATTAGAAGAATGTAGGCTATATAGAAAGCATTAAATACCATAAGTATTTGCGTATAACTCATTAACTGTATAACCATAATTTTTCACATCACAAAAATAGGGGGTTCGGCCTAACCTCTTTGCGTCAGTTATTCATAGCTTTTATTTAAAAACCTCAAACATGTACTTTGAAATATTTTAAATTTCAACACATTATAAGCTTGAGGTTGCCATTTTTATTACAATTTTAGGATCTTTTCTGTTTGATGCACCGCGTTCAAATAATTTTTTTGAATGTAGTTTTTAATGCTGATTTCAGAAATATATGAATTAAAATTTGGAGAAATGAAATTTAAAGGGACAGAA